CCATCTACACCCACAGCTCCCAATCTGGTGTGTCAGTCTACATCCGCGGTTCCCACCTGATATGTCTACACCGGCAGTTCCCAGCCGGGTCTAAATCCGCGGCTCCCAGCCTATGTGGTCAGCCCACAGGCTCTCTGGGACACGCGTGATGCCCACCCGGGTGCCTGTGCATCTGTTGCAGCCTCGGAGCGAAGGTGGGCAGATGGGAGGGGGTGCCCGGCCTCCTTCTGGCCGATCCCCAGGCCCCTGCGTGCCGCAGGTGGCCATCTCCAGGCTCTCTCCTGGGTGCCCGTGTCCCTGGCCTGACGCTGGAAGGCAACAGGGCCCCGAGGCCTGTGCTGACTCTGCTCAGTGCCTGCCCCCACCGCGGGATCTGATGAGAGAATCCACGTCTGGGCACAGCCGCCCCATCAGAGCGGGCAGCTCCAGGCACGCGGCTCAGGACCGGCGAGGGGTGGGCTGGGGGGGGGCAGAGGGAGGGAGAAAGAAGGGGAGGAGGGAGGAGGGAGGGAGAGAAGGAGGAAAGAGGGTAGAGGGAGGAAGGAGGGAGGATAGAGGGATGGAGGGAGGGAGGACGGAGGGAGAACGAAGGGAGGACGGAGGATGGGAGGATGGAGGGAGGATGGAGGAAGGAGGGAGGGAGGGTGAAAGGAGGGAGGAGGGAGGAGGGTGGGAGGAGGGAGGTGGGAGGGAGGGGGTGAGGGAGCAGTGAGGGAGGAGGGAGGGAGAATGAAGGGAGGACAAAGGGAAGACGAAGGGAGGATGGAGGGTGGGAGGACTGAGGGAGGATGGAGGGTGAAAGGAGGGAGGAGAGAGAGAGGAGGGAGAGAAGGAGGCGGGAGGGTGGAGGGAGGAAGCAGGAAGGATAGAGGGATGGAGGGAGGGAGGGAGGATGGAGGGAGGATGGAGGGTGGGAGGATGGAGGGAGGATGGAGGGAGGGTGATAGGAGGGAGGAGGGAGGAGGGGGTGAGGGAGCAGCGAGGGAGGATAGAGGGATGGAGGGAGGAGGGAAGGGGAAGGGAGAATGACGGGAGGACAGAGGGTGGGAGGGAGGAGGGGGTGAGGGTGGTGGAGGGGGGAGGGGGCAGGGGCAGGGCGGGAGGAGGTGGCCGCGCAGACGCCCATGTCAGACCAGCCTCTCGCTTCTCTGCTGCCCTGAGACCCCGTGTGCTGACCGGAGCGGGCAGCAGCCCCGAGAATCATGTCTGGTGGGGCGGAGGAGGCAGGCTCTGCCAGGACTCGCTCAGATGGGCACGGGGTCCAGCTGCGGCGGCCCTGGGCATCACAGCAGACCCCACGGAGGGCCCCGGGGTGAGCTGGGGTCACCGGTGCCCAGTCCATGGGGAGGCAGCCGCGCCCTCGGCTGCTCTCAGGACCTGGTGCCGGCCACATGCCCCCAGCCCGCTGCCCACTGACTGGGCCCCCTGCGCTGAGGCCCCAGCAGGGGCAGGTGTGGAGGCTCCCGGGGACAGTGGCCGCCCCTCGTCCTAGGGCACAGGTGACCTCACCCGGGCCGGCTCGGCTCCTGGAAGCACTGAGGTCACTGCTTCGGGCGGTAGCACCTGGGGGGCCCGGCCAGGGGCTTGTGTCAGCCCGCAGGAATGTGGCCGGAGCCGCCGTCGGCTGCCAGAGCAATTTGTTTGGTGTGTGTGTGTGTGTGTGTGTGTGTGTGTGTGTGCTGCTCACCGGGAGATGGTGGGAGGAACAGGCTTGACTCCTGTGCTGCTCAGTGGTCATGGGCAGGCGGACCCTCTGGGCAGGCTAGACGTGCCACGTGGCCCAGGGGGATGTCCTGGGAGGGGGCCTGGGGCTGGGGTTGGGGGTGTCGTGGGGGTGTCTGGGGCAGGGGTGTTGTGGGGGTCTCTGGGGCCGGGGATGTTGTGGGGGTCTCTGGGGCGCGGGTGTCCTGGGGGTGTTGTGGGGAGGTCTGGGGCTGGGGGTGTCAGGGGTGTCCAGGGCTGGGCGCGGCCCCTGTTAGCCTCCCGGGGTCGGATGGCTGGTGGCCCTGGCAGGGACAGGAACGGTGACCTCAGTAGTCTATTTTCTCTCCGGGCAGCAGCATCTGAGTTGCTGCAGCCCAGCCTAGAGAAGGGCCGTCCGTCCCGGACAGGGAGGACGCACGTGTCCCAGTCAGTGCCCAGCCCCGAGCAGTGTTCTCGGCCTGGGTGGGGGGGGTGGACCCTGGCCACATGGGGCAGTCTGGTCCCCCCGGACCCGGTGAGTGGTGAGCAGTGGGCAGCCTGGTCTCCCAGCAGTGCAGGGAAGTTCCTGCCTCGAGGCGGTGTCCCCTCCCCTCGCCTTGCCCTGAGACCCCATACCAGGGTGACCCGCTGCCCCTCCAGAGAGCAGATCACTCGGTGCCCCGGAACCTGCCTTCCCTGAGAGCATCCACAGAAAGCCCCACCCTGATGCCCAGGGCTGCCCACTCTGAGAACGGGGGCCCGGGGAGCAGGAGGCGTGTGGGTGCGACCACCCGCCCCAGGCGCTCCTGAGTTCCCAGACGCGGCCCACGCTGTCCCCCTGGACGCAGCCCGGCTTCACCTCTGGGACCTGACACCTAGGACACGCTCCGGGATCAGCAGCGTCTGCTGTCCTCGCTCTCTCCCAGACTAACCACGGGCGGTTCCACGGACAGATGAGCGGAAAGGGGACAATGGCCATTCTGGACACATTCCCGGGCGCACAGCCCTGGGGCCAGTGATTCTCAGCAGCAGCTCGGAGAGACATGGCCCCTTCCACCACCCACCCCCGCCGACCCCAGGGCGCGGCGCTGTGCCCACCAGCCCGGCGGGTGCCCCGGAATCCCACAGTGCCAACCAGACCCCGATGCAGACAGGGGCACAGGCCTGAGGTGGGGTACACACAGCCCAGCTACAGTGCAGCCCAGATAGGGAGTGGCCTGAGCACAACAGTCCCACCCGCGTGACCCCCACCCATGTGGCCCCCCTTTCCCGCGTGGTCCCCACCTGTGTGGCCCCCACCCGCGTGGCCCATGTCTAACTGCTGTCCTGGTCCCTGCCAAGGACCCGCAGCCTTGGAGTCAGCGAGGGCCCCGACACCATGCTTGGGGTGGGCCTCCCGAGAAGCGGCTTTCATACGATACCCCCGATCTCTGGCATGTCCCCCCTGGCCCAGCCACACACGTGAGGGGAGACTGGCTTGCAGGGGCCTCTTGGGGACACGAACTCGCCTCTGCACCCGGGGCTGTGTCCAGGGGCCCCAGCCGGGCTAGGCCCTTGGCAAGCAGAGAGCACAGACTGCATGGAGCTCTCCGTGGGTGGCTGGGTGGGCCCTGGACCCCTTCACTGAGTAGCTTGAGAGCCTGCCTGGGTCAGCCTGGCCTCGCTCTGATTCCTGCTCTGTGCCCAGGAGGCCCCCTGGCTCCAGCAGCCCCGCGGCCTGGCTCTCCCCGCACGTGACCTTATAAGGCCGAGCCGCGGGGACTCGCTCCGGCATCTGCCGCCTCGCACAGTGGGAAAGAGCCGCCGCCCACGGCCCCACGGCGAGCGGAGAGGCGGTGTGGCTATTTCTGTGCATTACGTGGCCTCCAGGAAAGAAGGAGCAAGCCCCGAGTCGGGAACAGCCTGCTCCCGAGGGCGCCCCGGAGACCACGGCTCTGGGGGGTCCGGTGCCGTGCCTCACAGACGGGGCGGGTGCATAGGGCCGAGCCAGGCCCCTCCCCTGCCAGGTTCTCCCTAGCCACATCGGTCCCCATGGGCAGCAGAGGCCCACGCCCCCTCGGGCAGTGGGGACAGCCCTGCCCAGCAGATCCAGGGCTGGCAGTGCTTCCCTGGCCCCCAGGCCACGCCCTGTCCCCTGCACGAAGGACACAGCTGTGAGATGTCAGCTGGACATCGGCCCCACCCTGCGGCTCTCCCCGCACGGAGGTGGTCATTTCCTGACCCTGCGCAGAAACAGAGCCGGGCACTTTCTGGGTGTGGGAGATGCTCCCATGGGTGTCCTGTGCGCAGACGAACGAGAAAGACCCGGAATTTTTTTTCTCACGCCCCTGGCAGGACGCCTCCACAGGAGGTACAACAGGAGCCGGAGCCGGCAGAGACCGGCCACCCCACCACCACCCTGACTGCTGACCCCTCGGGGGATGGGCACCTCCCGGGTGGCACTGTCATCAGGGGACAGGGCATCCCTCACCTTCGCCTGGAACCGCACTTTGTTATACGCTCATTCATTAACTTACTCACTCATTCACTCACCCATTCGATCATTTATTCACTCATTCACTTACTCAATCATTCATTCAGTCAATTCATTCATTCACTCACTCATTCACTCACTCAGTCAATTCATTTACTCCCTCACTCATTAACTATTCGCTCCTTCACTCATTTATTCTCACTTGTGCACTCATTAATTCACTTGCTCACTCACTCGTGTGCTCATTCACCCATTCACTCATTCACTTGTTCACTCCATTCATTCATTCATTCACCCTCTCATTCACTCTCTCACTCATTCATGTGCCCACTCTGTCCTCGTCCACTCTGATTCCTGAGTGTGGGCACCAGGCGAGCCCGTACTGGGTTGTATGAGAGACGGAAGCTGACAGGCTTGGCAGGAAGGGGGTGAACGAAGGAAGCCCCGTCTCGGTTCCAGTCCGCAGGGGGTGGGGGGAAGGGGAGCAGAAAGGACTTGGGCGACAGTCGTGTAGGCCCCGTATCTGTCAGCAGGGAGTGAGACCCTATCTGTCCCGAGCCCCAGGCCCGACTGCTCCACAGCCTCCGGTCAGCCCTGCGGCCACGCGGCTGTGTGGGGACGGGTGACTCGCCGTTCACTGATCGGCCTCAGGGAGGAGCAGGTTCGCTGGGGAGTTAGAGCGGCCGGGACCGTGCCACCTGCATCCCCGTACGAGATGCCCACAAAACACACTGCGAGATCCCGAGTGTACAGCCGCCCACCATGCGGTGTCCAGACGGACGCCTAAGCGCCAACCGGGAAACGCGTGTGACACCGAGTGGGTCCTGGAGAACGCGGCACTTACCCGCCCTCCTTTCTCGGGGAAGCATTGGCAGCCGCCACTGCAGTCCCTGCCACCACACGGCACGTCGTACTTCTTCACACCCTGCAGAGACAGAAGGAAGAGAAGGAAGGACATTAACGGGCTGGCAGGTACTGTGGGGTTGACAGCCACGAACCCTTGCAGTACAGTGGCACCAACAGCCGACGGTCCCCCAAAGTGCTATAAATCCACAGCTGATGGTCCCCCAAAGTGCTTAACACATCTGTAGTCGACGGTCCCCCAAAGTGCTGGAACACATCTATAGCTGATTGTCCCCCCAAATGCTGGAACACATCCACGGCCGCCCTGTCTCCCGTAAGTACAGTAACACAATCCACAGCCGCCCTGTCCCCCATAAGTGCTGTAACACATCTACAGCCGCACTGTCACCCCACAGTATGTTGTGTCTATGTGTTTGCGTGGGCTGTACTGTGTGCCCATATGTCCGTGTATGGGATGTGCTGGGATGTTGGGATGTACTATGTCTGTCTATGAGTTTGTCTGTGTCTCTGCAATGTACTGTGTCTTTGTCTACATGTGTGTCTATGTTTGTGTGTGTGTGTGTCTGTGCGTCGGATGTGTTGTATGCATGTGTTTCTGTGTATGTGTGTGTGAGATCTGTTGTGTGTGTCTGTGTGTGTCTGTGGGATGTGTCATGTGTGTCTGTGTCTATGTGTGTGTGTAGGGAGGTGTGCTATGTGTGTGTCTTTGTGTGTGTTTGTGGAGCGTGCTATGTATGTCTGTGTGTGGGATGAACTCTGTGTGTGTGAGCATGGGGTGCGTGTGTCTGTGTGTGGAGGGGTGTGCTATGTGTGTGAGTGTGCATGGGGTGTGCTGTGTGAGTGTGTATGCGTGAGGTATATATGAGTGTGTGCTCTGTGTGTGTGGGGGGGTGTGCTGTGAGTGTGTGTGTGCGTGGGGTGTGTGTGTGTGTGCATGCCTCCACACTGCCCACCACCTGTGCTGAAACAGGGAACCAGGTGCAGAGGTGACTGCTGTGCGGGGCAGGGTGTGGGTTGACCAGCCAGGGGCCTGACTCTGTTATGGAATGTTCTCTGTGAGCTCTCCTGGACACTGCCCGGCCCGAGCCCCGGCCCTGCAGACGGCCCCAGCACTGCCCGCGATCTGCACCGGGTCTGACCTGGAGCCTGGTGGTCCTGGTAACTGAGGGTCAACCAGAGCCACGGCCCCTCCCCAGGGAGCCACACCCAGCCAGAAGGGTGGGCACGGGCAGGTCCCCAGACCCTCACACCCCGGAACCTTCTGTCCAGTGTGGCCTGGAGACTCAGGGGCTCCCCAAGAGCTAAGTATGCCGCAGCGAGGGGCCATGCTTGGGTCTGCCCTGGGAGTGTCCTCACCCCTCATTCCCTCAGTCGTCCCCTCACTTATCAACGCACCCGGGCACTCGGTCACCCACCAGACACGCACACACGCACGCATGCACGCACTCACACACTCCTTCACTCACTCACACTCTCACGCACACACTCCTTCACTCACTCACATCTAGACTCATTCATCCAGTCACTCACAAGTCACACTCACTCACTTACTTATTCAGTCACACACACATCCACTCATTCATTCACTCATTCACTCTCATACTCACTCATTCACTTACCCTCTCCTTCATCCCCTCATTCATTCATTCATTCATTCATTCACTCACCCACTCCTTCATCCCCTCATTCATTCATTCATTCACTCACTCACACACTCACTCAATCTCTCCCCCACTCCAGTCACTCGTTCCTCCCCTCTCATTCACCCATTCGTTCACTCACTCTTCATTCTTTACTCACTCATCCGGTCACTCACCATCACTTCATTTATTGACTCGTCCAATCAGTCATTCATTCCCTCGTTCATTTCTTCACCCGGATTCTAGCGTGCAACCCTGACAGCCCTTTGCTGGCTGTGTCACATGAGGGGCCAGAGCTGAGTGGCGGGAAGGACATGAAGGACTCCGGGGTGGGGAGAAGACCTGCGGTGGGCAGTCAAGGAGCTCCTGGGCTGCCCCTGCTGCCCCTTCTGACTGTCACGGCAGAAAGAGCCATCAGCCAGCAGGCCTTGGGGAGCCAGACCCCCACCGGGCGCCCGGGTCTCGGGGAGCCAATGGGAACCTGTTTCCCTGCACGCCCGGGGCCCCAGCACTGCCGACCGACCCCTGAGGACAAGGGCAGTCCTGAGTGGCCAGTCTGAGGCACCTGGATGGTGAGCAGGTGGGGGGAACTTCCGGCCACGCCCCATCCTGGCATCAGAGGGGCGTGGTGCGGACAGCCACCTGGGGCCATCTTCTCGCCACGCCGGGGCCAGGTCCTGCTCCTGCTCCTTCCAGAAGATGCAAGCAGGGAGGAGATGGGACGGTGCCATCCTCCTGCCTGGGACGGTGCTATTCTCCTGCCCGGGACGCTGCTAGGCGTGGCCACAGGAGTCACTTAGAAACGGCTCAGGTGAGTCACATGACCCGGAAAAACAGAGCAAGTGTCATGAGGGAGTGAGAGAAGATATATATATATATATATAGAGAGAGAGAGAGAGAGAGAGGGAGAGGGAGAGGGAAAGAGAGAGGGAGAGCGAAAGTGGGAGAGAGGGAGGAGGGAGAAAGAGAGGGTAAAAAAGAAAGGGAGAGAGAGAGAAAGGAGGGAGAGAGGGTCATCTATCCCCATGAGCACAGTCAGAGGCTCAAGCACACACAGAGAGAAGCTCCCACTCAGCCAGGCACACACACACAAACACACACACACACACACACACATACACACGCACGCACAACCAGAGGCTCCCACACAGCTGACCACGGTCAGTCCCCACCCTCGCGCCCAAGGCTGTGTGTGCGCCTGTGGCTCCTGGCGCTTGGGGACCGGAATCCCGCCTGAGCTGGGCAGAGACGGTGGCAACAGCTGCGACACACGAGTATCCGGTCTGAGCTGCCCCCCGCCCCCCCCCCCCCCAGCTGAGTGACCCGCTGCCCAAACCTCTTCCGAGTGACCGGCTGCAGCCAGGGGCCCCTGTACCCTCCCTCACTTGGCGCGGGCCCCTCCCCATGACCCGCTGCCACGGCCGTCCCGACCCCAGCCCGCCCTCGTACCCCTCCCGGGACCCCCACGGGGACCGCCGGTCCGTATATTTAGGACGTTTAAAAATAGGTGTTGGCCAGCCCGGGCCCGGGCGAGGGCTCGAGTGTCGGGCACCTGCCGAGAGGTGTGAGGCCAGCCTGGCCCAGCTCCAGGCACTGCAGCCCCACACGCAGGGCCCTCGCCAGGCCAGCCTGCTGAGCCATGCCAGGAGATGGTAAGGCAACGGGTGCATTCCAGCCCACGGGGACCCAGCTTCCGCCTTGGGCACCGCAAGGTCTCCCTGCTCGGGCAGCCCGGGCGCCAGCTCCAGGCCCAGTGGCTTCCGTGGGCTCCTGTGCTGAGCCACGGGCCTGGTTGGCCAACAGCTGCCGGTGGGGCCCCCCCAAGAGCTGGGGAGACGCCCGCTGCCCTCCTCGAAGAGGAGCAGCCTAAGGCCGGACACTCGAACATGCGTGAGACGTGGATGGTCACTCTGCATCTGGGTGGCAGGGACGATGCCCCCAGACAGTGGACACCACGGGCCACGCCGGGGCTGGCACCATTCCCACACACACAGGAGAAATGCGCATTATTCAAGCCCGTACCGAGACGGGAGAACAAAACTTACTTGTCCTCAGACAAAGAATATTTTGTCCTCTACATATTTCAAGAAACTCTTGTCCAAGAAACTCTTTTTTGAGCCAAAAAGCGCCAGTCTGGAGGGGCGCAGGGCTGCCGTGCCATGGGCTTCCTGCACAGGGCCCGGGGGGTGTGTCGGGCCAGCTGTCCCTGTCCTGGGCACGCCACCCGCCCCTCTGCCTGGGTCCTCTCTGGCAGGGCGCTCCGGAACCGCCTTTCCATCCCAGGGGTTGCGGGCCAGGCCGGGCCCTAGGAGCCCGTTCTCAGCCACGCAAGGGGCCTTTATCAGAACAGGAAATATAAGGGCTTCCGCGCACGCCACAGCAGAAATGCAGGAAATCGTAGGGCAAGGGCGGCACCAGGAGAGGCCTATGGCTGTGAATGCGGCTCTCCGTGCCGTCACCCATGTGGCTCTCTCTGCAGCCCGCTTGGCGCCCACCACTGACCCAGCACTGCCGTCCAACCCCGTCATCCCAGCCAGGAGGTCGCCGAGACCCTGGGCCTGATCGTTCCGGGGCTGCCAGCGGACAGTGGAGGGGGCCAGGAGGCAGCACACGGGAGCGGGGGCGCTGCAGGGGCCTCTGTGTCCCCGAGGAGGCTCTGCCTGTGCCCAGCGGGGTGGACAGTGGCCACCTGTCTGTCCTCTTGCTCATTTCCTGTGGACGGAGCCGGGGTGCGGCGCTGGGTGAGTGGTCACTCGCCAGACGGACCGTTCCCAGCGGGTGCCCGGAGCCCACCCAGACAGAGCCCTGGCTATCCCGCCATCCTGCCGGGTGACAGCACAGCACCACGAATGGGGGCTGGGAGCTGGGGGCGGACATGCAGTGTGCAGCCGGCCAAGGGGTCGGTCGGGAGGCAGCCCTGGACCAGGGGGATGGGCACCCACCAGGAGGCTGCAGGGACTGGCACTAAGGTGAGTGAGGATGTGGGACTTGCCGGAACAGAGGCCAGTCCTGCAGCGGGGGCGGGGGGGTGGGGACCAGCAGAGACCCCAGCAGGAAGTGGGTCTCGACGGACACGCCGCCCACACCCTCTGGCCTGCCAGCACCCGCTGCTTTGAGTCAGGTCCTTTGAGTGCAGCGGCCGCATCTGCGACCCCGGGGAGTGAGCAGGTGTCGCCAGCGGCCAGAGGGCTCTGCATCCCGCCCTCACTTCCTGTACCTCAGCTCTGTCCCCCTTCCGGAATGGCACCCAGCTGAGAGCCTGGGGGCGCGAGGCTGAGTCCAGCAGGGACCCGGGATGGACTCGGACTCAGACCACATCCTAGAGGCTGCCGGACCCTCACGCTGTGGGGACCCCGGCCGGCCTGAGGCCCACCACAGCCCTGGCCCTCTGTCTTGTGCTGGGCAGAGCTGGTCAGCTCCT